CCATCAGATTCTTGCTACCCCAGCTGCATGTGGGTTCGGATATAGGTCGGCACTGGGCGGCCCGCAAAGCCTTTTCGCAAGCCGCAGAGCTGCTTCCCCGCAAGCAGGTAACGCTGCTTTTTCGGCTGCCAGCGTTGTGTCCGCGCCTGTCGTGGTATTTGTCTTGTTCGAACACAGGAACAAACGTGCCCTTGCTTTTCCACGGCCTGCGCAGTTTGACATCGCTGCCATTGTGGCATTCTGCTGCCCGCGGTGACGCAGCTCCGGCAGATTCAGTACTCTAAAAGGCTTCCCGTGTCCTAGGTATTACCCAGCTGCTCCCACCTCCGCAGCAGATGGCAGTGGATCGAGCGGTCACTAACCGAGCATCCCAAGCTCCTTCGGTCGAAACCGTATCTGACCCAACCAAACTGGGCCGAAAAAGCAAACGGGACAAAGCAGCCAAAGGGAAGAAGAGAACGAGAAAAAAACGAATGACCGTCTTCTTCACACAGACGACCGTCGGCCGACGATCAGCACTTCCACCGCCATGCGTTTCTAGAAGAAACGAAAAAGGGAGCATTGAAGAAAGCGGCTGTTGTCACCTTGGTCTTGCAGTAGCCAACTCTCATTCACAGTAATTCACCACAACCGCTGCGTTATCGAATCGGTTGGGTCTGTACGACCACGTACACCTCGTAGGCTTCCCGTACTATCTACGTTATTCTCAAGATGCTTGCGATTCAGCGGCTAATGAACTTAGGATGTGCAATTCTAATTCTTCTCTATTCAAGTTTCTTAGTTATACCTCTCTACGTGACTAGCCTTCCAACCACGTTCATTTCAATGCTGAGCCCTTTTCGCTTGTGGCCAGCTTGTAAGTTAAAAAAACATTCAAATAGAATATTAAGCTCAGCCTTACAGGATGAGTCCTTGTTCCAGGTTTCAAGCATATCGGTAAATAGGAGCGCCCTAAATCCGGAAAAAAGATACATTGTCCTAAAATCGTTTTTTACTAATTTGTCGTGAAAGAAAAGCCAAAGACACGTTTTTTGATAGATAGTTCCTAAGATATATTTGAACTGATGCAATCTGTCCGAGTATTCGATGCTTAGAATTAAAATTAATCCGTAACGTCTAAAAAATCTATTCAACATCTAAAAAACGAAAAAACCTAAACAAAACATGCTACTGTTCACGTTTTTTCATTTGCCCGTCGGTAGGCAGCTTCTAGGTGGTTTTGTTAAACACAGTAGACCACACCTCTTCTAAAATTCTGTGGCATACCAAATTGACGTTATTTTTGTCAAGACTGGAAAAGTAAAGCATAAAAACAATAAACATTAACAATCATCGCTGGTAAATATTATCAAGCCGCATTCTAACCTGATTAGACCAATAGCCTTGGAACATATTGAATTGAGCAGTAAACCTAAAAGTACGATCGGTCATGATTACCGAATACCGATTTATTTTCCTAGATATACCTCTTTTCTTCTGAGAGAACTCTTATGACCTTATGCTTGTCCTGTAAATTAGCTCTCCCAGACATTTGGATCAGGAGAGTGAGCACTGGTCGTCCGGACAGGGGCCCCTTGTTTTAGTTCAATAGTTGTAATAACATTCCTAAATTATGGATAATTTGAAGTATCTGGGGGGCATAGCAATACGGTCTTATTTGTTTCTGTTCAGTCATGAGTTATTACATCTCTCCGCCTGGCCAAAAAGCCTTCTTATTCACAATACTTATATACCTAGTAATCAAACAAATTAAATATCTAATAATAAGGATATAGCACTAGACAAAGACATTAGGTAAACGGCGTTGCAGCGTCCACAGAACTGTTCGGAAAATGGAGCTGAAAACGAAGTAGAAACCGGGCGCCAGCGGTGGTGGTACTGCGTACATCTTCTAAAGATTTTCGGTTTTACCGCCAATGAATTACAACGTCAATAGCGGCCCATAGCATTGTGCAGCCCGTCGGCCCTGCGTAGGAAAAGAAGCCATCTAAGGTAAACAACCATATTAACAGCACCAATGGGCTAGTTGTGACGCTCTTGCAAACCTGCTGTCATGGATGCAGGGATCGCATTTAAAAAGGAGATGTATCAGCAAGGTGAGGAGTTTTTCAAAGACGTTAGTCACCTCGCCTCCTAGACAGGAAGTTCCCAAGAAAGTTGCGAACCGGCAAATGATTATATTACGAAAAAAATGCAAATTTTTCTACTCCCTATATCGCAGCGCCTTATCGTCAAAAGTGGATTTTATAGCTATAAGAATTAGGCGGCTGGAAAGATTGCCTATAACATTGCCAGGAGGATAGAGCCTTGTTTTAGGCATAAGAATCCTGACAACCAAGAGATGCAGGCGCCAGAAGATGCTCATCTAAAAGCTATTGATGGCAACAACTCGAGAGCGACTGAGCAGAAAACCCAGTCAGCTTAAGCAGGCTTTTAGAACCAAACGTTCCGGTAGCCGACTTAGTTTCAAAACGACGAATCGCCGTCAAGCAAAGCAACCGTTAAAAGCTGCAGTTCAGAAAGGCAGTATCTAAGCCAAGCAATTGGACCAAGGTCAACGGGTCCCAGCCGCCTCAACAGTGGAGGACTTTGTAAAGCAGGTTTTGACTAGTTTTGACTTTGTAAAAACGATTGGCGAGTCAGCTCCTGTACGCAGCATCACGAGGGTGATCACAGGGCTTGCAGCGAGGTCAAACTTTGAGAAGACGTTAACAACTGCGATGACTATAGCAGTGCTGTGAATTCTTTTTTTTTTTTTAATACCATGACTTGTATTGCATTATACAGTATCCGATCAGTGCACACAGACGTATGGCGTTATACTCTAGCAGAGGAAGTTACGAAAATCATAAAATTAAAAAATAAAAATCGAAGTGTCTTCGTGCGCCGATTTAAAAAAAAATTGCCCTTCTGCAATTTTAGTCAACGGCGGTAGATGTTTACGTAGGAAAAGTTATGAAAGATAGTCAGTTTGGCTATAGCCAAATAGACCCAGATATGCACCACATCAGTTTTTTTACTTGACCTTCAGCTCTCTGTGAAGTTATTAACCAAAGACTACGAAGTTTTCTATGTCAGAGAAAGTCATATCATCGATTCTCACCGGTTCCCATTTCAGAAGTTATGCAATCTACCTTCTCGTGGTCTATAGAGCTCGTCTCTCAGCGAGCTTCTTAAAGCGAAATTGACCCTCCGATGTTTGTGTAGATGTGCCTGTTTGTGTGTGCGATGGAGGACACCCCGGCCGTTGGAAGACTCTTTCACCCTTTTTCGTGGGTCCTTCAACCTTTGGTTCGCTACACCCGCTTGACATCCAATCTAATCCGTATTCCAATCCAAGGTCTTCCTGTCCTAATTAACGTTCTTCCAGGCACGTCCGCGGCAGGCACGAAGACAAAAAGGCGTTCGTAGTTATACAACCGCGATATTCTTCGAAGCATCCATCCGCTTTTCGTCGGCTTTTAGCCGGAAACGCAGAAAAGTGAATGTTTCTGGAAAATTATTTATTATTAACACGGCCTACTGGTAGGACAAGCTGAAGGAGGAAAGATGGCAACGTTGTTCTGATTAGCAGCATAAGATTTAATTATTTGGATAATTCTTGGATTAATTCCGTTTTTTACAGGGGTAAATAGGTAAGCGTCCGTGTCATGTGAATTCTCTGTTAGCCGAATGATTGATAAAAAAAAAAGTGTAGGAATAAGCCGATAGGCTCTACGAAAATCGGAAAAAAACATACATAAATAATGTGTGCTTAGATATGAGCACTACCGCTTGGAATAGAGATGTAAATTCAATAAGGGTGGATGTGTGAGGCCTTTGTTTTATTTATGTCTCATAATAATACATTTAGTATAAAGTAAAAGTAGTATACTTTTGGTTTTAGAAATACAAAAAAGATAGCAGATTCAAAAGAAAATTATCGTAATCTTTATTCTTTCCGTGAAGCCTAAATGACTAAAGCTGATGGATTGCCAAATTAAGATATCTTTCCATAGAAAGGATGGTGGTTCGCATTACTTTTTTGTGTGTTGTTTCACCCCCATAGACACCCCATAGACATTTAAATATCTGCGAAAGTAGACTTGAGTTAACAGTGTTTGTCAAGGCCTGATAACGTTTGTCTCGTTGAAAAGGTGTCATACAGTCGAGGTCTGTTTGTTCCACTGATGAAATATCAGATCGCCGATCAGGGCGCTTCCTTCTACCTACTGAAGCAGCGACGATCGGGGCCATCGCTGTAGACGTTTTGGTTCCGTATAACAGTCCCATTATTGTTGAATTTATTTTCGACATCGAATGTTTGGTAGAGGCATCACATTTCAGTATAAAAACCAGAATCTTTTTGTTCATGATAAGGTTTAAGCCGGCACGTAACTAATCTACACAAACTTTTATAGAACGAATGAAATTTGACTAAAGAAGTTGTTATTTAAACACGATCCACTGAATTACGTATAAACAGTATTGAGTGGCTAAGCTCAAAGCATGAAGCAGCGCGAAGCAAAGAAGGGTACATTGTTTCTTTCCCTAGAGTCCTACGCAAAAGACATAGGCCTGTGTGGACAGTTTGAGCCGTGTGTGTGTTCAAGACGAGGTCGACAGTAAAACAGCAATATAAGTATGGCAAAAAAAATGCCTATATATATATATATATATATATATATAAATAACCAAAAGGACACATAATAGTGGCCAATTTCTATTGGCTGAAAACGTGTACCCCTTTTGCCTTTTTTTTTCGCATGGCTATTGTTTCTCAGTCGGTCTCAAACGAGGAGCTATAGCGTTCTTCGAGAAAACTTCGCAAGATTGCTTGAGAAGTAAAAAAACGATGCCGTAGAGTAGGCACACCCTTGTGCAACAGGTAGGTTTTTTTTGCGACGGAATGGACTAAATGGTTCTACTGTTGAATATCTCAATGTGCCACTAACGGCAACGTTTGAGAACCAACGTCTAGAACACTAACAAACAGATAAAGGACATAAACGAACCTAAATTTCAGGGGCTGGATGTGGTCGGATGTGAACAGAGCTTGTGAGGAGGACTCGCCTACTCTCACGGGTATAGTAAGTCATCTGCTTTGCTTCTAAATAATAAGATATATAATATTTATCAAACACCTCCGTTATTATTTACTCCGACCCTTTACGGAAGTATAGCGCAGTGGGCACACCAATACTCAATCGCCTTTTGTTAGGGGGTACCCCCAACGCGTTTTGGGGAATGAAAATCCAACGGTTGTTAGTTCTAGGCAAGTTAACAATATCCTTTATTGAAGTGATGCTAAATTGTAAACAATATTATTCGAAGCTAAAAAGAGTACACTGAAAAAGTCAAATTAGCCTCTTAACAACTACGAAAAGCTAGCACACTACTCTCACAAAGTTACGCCGTCCATTCTACAGCTGTTTATAAAGTGTTGGAGAGAAGTTACTATATTGCACTACAAATTGACAAATCTGCAAGTAAGAAACAACGTTTATTAACAAACGTTCGACGATACCTAAACAAACCCTTGTCAGATACTTTATCTCATTTCACTAGGCTTATTTTGTGTTAAGCTAAATGATAATATTTAAGCGTACATATATATATATCAATAACAAACAACGCATGGGAATATATGATGTTTACAATTAAGCTCTTAAAAACAAAGTTTTCTAGCCAATAATGTTTCATCATGGAAAATCACCATGGAGATGGTGGTACATTTTTTGGTGAGCAAACCTTGAACTCGATGGGAATTCTACAGCGAAAAATTCATTTATACGAGTGAATTTTTCGCTGTACAAATGTATGGCTTTCTTTTCCATGTACTTTTTTTAGTATGAGGTCCATGCATACTTTATTAGCATCACTCTATCGATCTATCTAGTAGTCTGTTTTATTTTTTTTTTTAAAGACAACATAGACGTAGTGGGAATGAGTTCTTTGATACTTAGCTTGCGTAGCACTCACTTCTTCACGTCCTTTGCATCATGGCCTTCGCTGTCAAACGTGCGAATACGTAAAGTGAGCTGTTAAGAAGTTGCCTTCATAGTGCGCTATAGGCACTACAATTAGAAGGCCCATTTGAATAGACCTCGCTCAAAGTTCAGAGTTGGGGAAAACCATTCATTTCAGTACATCTAGCACCTTTTGGGCGCTTCCTTTAATTGCATGACAGGTTTAATGCCGACGCTATCCAGTGATTCTCATTCCGGTACCAGGTCAAGGGCTGACCTATACGAGGACACACTGCGCATGTATTCATACATATGTAGGTATATAATACTCAATATATCCGTAGATCAATATAGTCTAGATTATAGCGGCAGGCTGGCAGGGGCATCATTTGGCAACGTGCTCATGTTCGTCTGCGGCACTGAGCTAAACTTGCAACCCAGTTTGCTTTAAACAACCGTAAAAGGGAGTCTAGACGAATGCAATGAAAGATAATGTCGCATGAAATCTGTTTCCTCCTTCTCATCAGGGACTCACAGACGAACCAGAGGGTCGTTGATTGTTCTTGGACAAATATGAGTCCATGCAACCTTGGGTTATAATAGACATGATCGTACATTTGGACAGTAAAAAGTTGTATTGTGAATGCTGCGGATGTGTCACCTCTTTTTGTGCAGTAAATCATACGTTCTTTTTCATTGCCACTTGTAGGTGTAGTGGAACCCCAGAGGTCAAGAACTACATAGGTGTGTTATATTTTTAAACGGCGGCGTTTTATTTCGGGTATCTTTTGAGAAACAGAATTATATCAGAGCATTTATTTGTTTTGCATTTAATCGAAACGTAAAGAATCAAAGTAAGCAGACCATTTTTCTACTGCTGTTTTGCCTGTTCGACAAGTATATTTGAACTGAAAGCGATTTGGACATTATAAAAGTTTCTGCATTAATAGCTATATATGAACCACTGCATACTCTATACAAAGGTCGCTGATATGACAAGGAAATGGACAGAACTAACTTACAATTCAACCTACTAATATATATCTTAAGCTTATGCTCGTTAATACACGTGCTCGTTGACAAAATGGCCGGTGGCTCATATAACTCCACCTCTGGCCTATCCAGTTTTACCCTGTATGCCTGCCTATATGGGCTAACGACGTATTTTCTTTTTAAACCTCCTTTAGATTGTGAGATAAAGATGTGTTTAGTGAACGACCTGTCGTAAACATTTTTCCGGAACAATGGTTGCGCCTAGTAAACGTTCGGTGATAGAACATCACCACTTTGTAATCTGTAAAAATATTGCTACATAAAAGCCATATATTCACTGCTTGACGAAGATACGACCTCATCCGGTCCGGTACCATTCAGTGGCCGTTTTCTCTTTGAGGACGTCCAAAATTATACATCGACAAAAGGCAAACGTACTTTCTAGCGGACTGTTTCTTACTTTCGACAACACCAATAGCCCGTACATCTTAAATTAGCATCTTTCACATCAAACACTCCCATGGAATACAACGAAGGGGATTAGCTATGCAGGTCCTACCGTGTCAAAATACGCTTCTGACGATTCTGAAACTCGTCTTTCGATGACAATGCTGACTCCTTTAGAGGACAGGTTCTAAAGCGACTATAAATATTATGGGTTGTTTGCAGTTGAGATGGCATATTTGTTTCCGTTTAAGTTAGGTTAATTTTTCCATTAGTTTAGCTTGCTTCCTTAAAGATCAAAAATAGTCTATCAGGGACATATAAGTTACGAAACAAAAACGTCAGTTCATTGTGTTCACGAACCGTATACTCAGCTCGGACACAAATGCTACGTAGTGCAACGCCCCTTAGGTGCACAGGCCAAAGATAAGGTAACATTGCCTCCGATGGCCTTTAAATGATTGTGCGCTAAAGTAAAAGACAAAGCCTTTTTTTTTGTGTTTCTCAAACACGCAACATTGTTAGTGTTTATATTTATAAATTACCCTGTAAACGTCGCGAAAATCGTATAAAAGTTCGCCCTCTAGGCATCGATTGACTGGAGACTTTATCTTTATAAAACGGATCATTGTTGTTCGTTGAATATTTCTAGTGCCATTATAAAGTACCTTTGCTATCACACGAGTGCCTAATAATAATAATACCTATTATTTATACAGGTAAAAATATATAAAAGACTTGTACAGTGATCGATTGGTCATTGTTAATAAACTCGCAGCTTTAACCTGTTATGCTTTCGTTATGGTGACAATGTAGGGTTCGATGTCATTGAAGAACGGCACCGCGGAAATCATCCATTTTCGTTAGGGAATGCTAGGTTAACGTCGGACTGTCTGGCTATCGACAATGCGTGTCACGCCACTGAACCTATAAAACAGGTCGACATCCAACACAGTTAAAGAGAGTCCGGTATTAGTAGAGACAACGAAATAGTTAACGTTAGGAGGAACGGAAATTAGATGGTAATCAAAACACCGTTATCCCTTTGCAGGGACAGACAGTGTTAGCCATCTGTGCTTCCGTCTGTGCGCCACGCGTATACTATATTGAGTCATTCTACGCCTGTCTGATGTAACGGACTTTTGCCCTTTTTCGAAAAACCGCCGGTGGAATCACAGCGATCGCAAAGCCGACCATACCGAAAAGGCAAACCAAGCCCCAATAGGCAAACCAAGCAAGCAATAATACGGCCCACATGATTTCAATAATTACCTCAATTTGGACAGACGTGAATGTCTCCGAGGGGTACATTAACTGGCGTCTCGTCTTGTCTGCTGCCGTATATGAGAGAGTGCGTAAGTCATTCCTTGACAGGTAGACGTACATACGTAAGATGCTTAATGTCCAGATGAAGCTAGTGAATATGTGAGAAATACCCACGAATAGGGCTGAAAGGATTTCTACTCTTTAGGGGCTGGATAATATAAAGGCTATAAAACGTAGCAAAAATGAAGATTTATAGCCAGTGGCGAAAATGAACTCATAGGTATAATACGCAGGCGTATTTTTCAGTTATTTGAAGCACATTGTTGCGTTGTAATCAAATCGGTATGACTGAGTTTTGTCGAAAATATTGTGACACACCTCAATCAAAGTATCGAAGACAAAAACAAATTACTTCACTGTCTCCTCATATAAACCAGTGAACTCTACTGTTTGTCTACGTGAAGTTTATTACACTCTGAAGAATGAAGCTAGGAGCGCGATATAACACATATGCTGTACATGCTTCTTCCTTGTATGATACGGCTTTTATTTCAAAATACTCTACGAGACAATGAATCGTTGTCGATACAAAGCAGAGTCATTCCAGAGTCTCGTATGCTTTCGCATTCCCACGCGCCCGCCAAAGTCCGACGACAACACTCATTACCTCGATCTGGACGGATTCGTTTTTTTCTTGATGCATATGGATTAGTTGCATCTGCCCTTAGTCGTCATGCATGCAAACCATAACAGCTACTTACAAAACGAGATCCCGAAACTTCCCGACGAGCTGGGAAGGACTCAGCTACCACTACTATTTAGGTGTCGCCATGTAGGAAGATCATTGTCGGCAATGTGCAGTTCGCGACTAGAGGCGAAGAGCATTGCTGGAGGAGACTTTCCGCTACGAAGACTGTCACGTCCGCTGGCTGAGTATCGTGCTAGACTAAAGATATTGAAGAATCGCTTATAGCAACTAAATTACGGCTGGACACAAGACAAACAATGGGGTATCGTGTTTCGTTTTCCATTATTGCCTGCGGTCCATCTCCAGTTTGAATACGGTCTGATGGAGAAGGTCTATACGCGGCAGACAGACGACACTAAAGCAGGGAGGCAATGCCGCACTTAGCGACGGCTTCCCAAATCCCGTATCCAGGCCTACGGTACGGGGTGCTTCAAGGGCCATTTGAGTTTGGTTAATCTGGTAACAAATCCGGCTGCCGGATGCGGCGAGCATAATAGGATGATCATATGTATTCAGTGCTTAATCGTAGGGTTCTGAGGGAAAGGTCCCGTGCCAGATTGTGTTTAAGATTGTTCGATTACATCTGACGGCCAATCTTTATTCATTTTATTACCCGGTTTCCATATATGATGATCCAAGCATAATTTATAAGGATTCATAACATAAGCCA